GGGTCAGCCCAAAATATTGTACAGCTTAAGAAGCCAGGTCAGTGTTGGCCTTTGACTGGAACCAGTCCAGAGCTGGCAGGCAGGGAATGTTCCAGAATGAAAGAGGCAGTAACTTCTAGAAAGCCTCGCTGGTAATGTTTACTGAATCTTTCATTGACTAACTTCACAAATCTTGCCAGCCACTCTCAATGGCCAGGGCACATTGTTGGCAAGAGTGCGGAATCAATGTGGTTTGTCTGCCTTGCCACAGGGGTTCCCTCTTCACAGACACTCTTTGCCCTGCCCTTCACCCTGAATTCTACCAGAAAGCAACTCATTGGATGCTTGCTTTGTCTGTGCAACAGGTTAGCAAATGGATTTGGGCGATTGTGCTTGGCAGGGTTTTGGGAGGGGTAAAACCAATTTTATAGCCAATAGGATGTAGCTCTGTTTCTCTAAGGCTGTTAAGAGTATGGCATGCTCCTGCCTCTCAGCCTTTGTTCACGCAGCTGCCTCTGCCTAGACCACCTCCCGTTTCCATTAACCTCTATCCCAGCTATGTTTTCAGACCCAGTTTGTGAGCAGTCTTCCCTGCGAAGTCTTCCTCAGTTCCCGGGAGAAAATATTTTAATTGGCATATATCCATTGATGGGTTTCATAAACACATTTTATTCAAGCTTACCATTTATTTTGAGCATATTTCTCTTCACCATCCCTCCACGAGCCCCATTCTTTGTTCCAGATCGTCTCACTTTTACTTTCATGGCATGTATATAAATGACTATGTGAGGCCGTGGTGACCTTGATTTTCATTGTTTGCTTTGTCTTCCATGCTGCCTCGTGCTCTTTGTGCCATCACAGCAGGGCTGACAACAGCCTGTGTTGTATTCTCATTATTGTGTAGTTCACACATGCTTATTACATTGTCAGTCGTGAAGGCAGGGGCCTTTTATTCTTCGCTTTTGTATTTCTCATGTAGTTTTTTTTTTTTTTTTTTTGCCTTAGAAAGTGTTTAATGATCAATATGCGGGGGAGTTGAGCTTTCACTAAAAATATTACACATGTCAAAAGTGGGTCTCATAGATTTATAAATATTCCCGAAGAACATTTCTTTCTAAAGAATTAGGTAAGTGAATTATAGGATATAGAAGCAGCAGGCACATGCAAAAATGGCCACTATCTGTAATGTGTGTATGGAGAATCTAATTAAATCACAGTGAATTTTCCATTTGCAACTAACTGACTCAAACTGCTTGCACACAGTGATCTGTTGCCTCCATTTATCCACTTGTCCTTTGACATTTAAGACATTGGACCATCCAAATAGCATATTGTTCATGCTAATGTACAACCACGCTGGCGTCACTCTCCCTACATATGCTTTCTTTAAAAAAAAAAAAAAAAAAAAAAAAAAAAAACGAAGAGCATTGAAGTAATTTTTCAATGTTAATGTGAGTTGATTTTTATTGATTTTGTGCTGGTAGTTGACTAATTATAAAGATGGGTGTCATGCCTATGTGTTCTCTCCTCTGCCTTACTCAAGTATGACTCATCCTTGAGCTGATGTCAGCAAGACCTTTATTCTTTGAGGGTGCTGTGATATTGCAATGAGTAGTCTGTTACCACATTTGTTATCACTTTATTCTAAAAGGATTGCTTCAGAAGGCTAATTAGAAAATCCTGCATTTGAAGTGGAAGCCAAGGTAGACCTTGTGCCACAATGTTACCATCAAACATTTGAAAAAACAGGCATCAATTATTTCATTTGAGATTTGTTTCTTACAGTCCATTATTATTGTCCTTTTCTTTTGTTTTTGCTTATTCTTTCCTTTCTCTTCTTAAAATTCTTCCTTCTCCTTGTCCCTGTTTTTCACCATGTACTCAGTGTTTACGAAAAGGAAATTTTTTTCTTGTTCATGGATTAAAAATATGGTTAACAATGAAACTTCATTTTTCAAAATGACAGTCTAAAGTAAATTGGACTTTCTAGTCTCCGGTGAGACTAGAGAGTCTCCTGTCTAGAGTTATAGGGAGTCATGTTCTCTCAGGCAATTGAATTATTTTGTTCTAAATTGAAGGAGGACGCCTGAGTGCTAGTCCCAACTCTTTCATGGGCCAACTATGAATCCCTGGGAATCTTTGATTCTTTGTGCCTTGAGATCTTCATTTTTTAAGATGGAAAACATTCTATTTTCTCATCATGTAACGAAGATGAGGGCTGCTGTGTCTCAGCATCAAAAGTGTTTGGAAAAGCTGGGTATCCACATACACAAGATGTGTTTGTCTACATTTTGAAGCCAGTAAAATAGGGAGCAGGATCACATAAGAAACCTGATGCTTAACAGCTGGATTGCAACATGAATGTGTTTGAAGCCAGAACACCATTGTGAGTTTGTCAAAAGCATAGGAAACATTGCCTTTCTTATAAGATTCCCAAAGGGAGGGCTAGCCAAAAGCTTTTTTGCTAAGCCTGAGAGGAGGAGGAGAGACTTAGGCTTGGCAGAGGATGGGTAGTTGTAACTGCAAGTACTCTAACAATCTGTACTGCGTTCTTATCTTAGAATAAGATATCATGGCATGTGACTGAGATGAAAAAAATCACCCATGAAATATTAAGTTTTTCAACAATTAAGATACCTCTGTGAAAAACAATGTATGAATCTATAGACCGTTCTTTCTTGTTCTTAAATTTGTGCTTTAGTTACTTTTCAAAGTTTCTGAATACTGATGTCTGTTCCCATCCATAACTGATTTCTTCTTCCTACTTTTCTTTTTATATCCATTAGAAATCCCCTGAATATTTCTCCTTTTTCTCTTCTTTGTATTCAGTCTAAACTGACATTACCTAAGCTAAATTCTAATTAGGCCATAGACTCTTCATCAGGATTGACATTGAAATTCAGAGGGAGGGATGAACCCTGTGGTCCAGTGGGCAGGACTAGGAAAGTGTCCGTGAAAGCACAACTGGGTCTTGAAAGAAAGTACTAATTCCTAGAGATAACCAGGGAAGTTCAAGGGTGAGGCATTCCTCACTCATGAACAAAAATGAAGGCCACTAGTCAGGTCAAGAGCAGCCTCAATCAAGAAAGCAATGCAGGCCCACTTCGTGTCTAAACTTTTAAACCTCCAGGATGTATTGATTCAGTGTTCAAGACACTGACAGGAGATCTGTAGTAGAGCTCAAAGCATGTAACTAAGCTATTTTATTGGAACTTAGTTCCAAACCACATGCAGAATGCCCCTTGAACTAACCTTGTCAACCAGAGACTGGGGTCACTTGGACATGATTTTTAATCAATAGCTTCCATGACACCTATAGATTCTCTTGTCCTTGAAACTCAGTTGAAATGTGCTCTGTTTCAATGTGTGTCATTCCATCAGACTGTGAGCTCTGTGATGTGATAACTGTGTCTTGTTCTTCTGTCCATCAGTTCCCAAGATCTATGTAAATGTTCAGTTTACTGGATGGTGAAAGGCACATTAGATTAGATGTTTGCTTAGATTTATTTATTTTTTTAAACTTAGGTAATTTACTTATTTCTGACATTCAGGCTTCTCATCTCCAAAATAGTGAATATAATAGCATTTTCTGAGTCTGAAATGAGGTGATAGATTTGGAAGTACTCAGGCCAATCCAGGTCCTATCTCAGAGCAAGGATTCAATCAGTAGAAGCTCTGATGGTCATTACATGATTGTGTAGTAAATCAATGAAGGGTAGACCAGCTGGCTGAAAAAGGGCATGGATGCACTTGATGAGGCTGATGCTTAGAACTAGGAAGAAGCTTATTAGGAGTGACCCTGGCAGTCCTCCAAGTCTCCCTTCCTTCCCTTGGCATCTCATGGATGATTGGGAGGCTTAGACAATAAAGGGTAATCTTTAAGCATCTCTTTCTTTGTGTAAGGCTTGCAATAATCATCATGGCTGGGGAAACAGATTGAATAGATCTCGGGTGGGGGAATGATGTTATTAATATAAACATTTTTTTTTTCCAAATGTAACATACTGCTTTCTGCACACAGCAAGCTGTTGTTAGTTTGTGAGGTCTGTGCCTTTAGAAAGCCATTGCTGGCAGCTTGAATCAGATTCTTAGAACAATTAGAGGCTTTGAACACTTACAAGCCAGAAAGTTGGATAAGCATGTTTTTGACTCCATGGTTCCTCCTGGGGTTTGCCTGATGTGCTGGACTAATTATCAGATGTAATTAGGAAAGCTGAGAAATGGGAAGACTACAGGGATCAGGCTACTTTCCCAGGAACCCTCATTTCTTTGTTCAGAAGGGAGCTGGGAGACTGTCTCCATTGTAAAGAAGTAGCAATGCATATCACACTCAAGGGCAAGAAGGATCCTGGGAATACACCCGGCTTTATGGGACCCATTGCCCATGATGGGGTTAAAGTGATCAGAGGAGATTTCCTCTGTAGCTTTTCAGTGTGGACTGAAACTCTGACTCATTACTATACTGGGTATTTCTTAAAAACCAAAACTCCAGTCTTTGTTCATCCAAAGAAATTTAAAAATGATCTACCATTAGAACTTATGAATATGAAGAGAGGAATTCCCAACTTTGGGTCTGCTACACGGTCTATATATCAGAAGCTGCAGACAATCTCTCGTCCTTGCCTTGGCCTAGACTTAAAGTTTGCCTAGACCATGAGTACTTTGCCACTGAGGTGATAGAAGATGTACCATTTCTTGGGACCTGTGAGAGCTGACTTTTCTTCAGAGGGAAGAGTTCCATTTGTGCATCATCTCAGTCTTAGTCTTGATGACATGGAGACAAGATGCGCATACATAAAACATGGAAAGACAATGACACGTTTATGTTCCCTCACTAAAGATCATAGTGCAGACTATGAATGTGGTAGGTATTTTGTAAAAGAGAGAGAGAGAGGAGAGAAAGAGAGATCTCTGAAAGTCATTATGGCCTAGATGTGAAGTTGTGAACCTTGCTAACACTATGTGAACTTATTGTTATAAGGACATCAAATACTAACCAAGTATTTCTGCTTTCTCCATAGGTCACCTGTCTCCATGATTTCTTTGGTGATGATGATGTCTTCATTGCTTGTGGTCCTGAAAAGTTCCGCTATGCTCAAGATGATTTTTCATTGGATGAGAATGGTAAACACTATCATTGGGCTTGTTTTGCTTTTGTTCTGTTTTTTTTTTTCATTCCTTAGGATTTTCATGAGCTTTTGTGGTCAGAATATTCAAAAAATGGTAATTCAAAGGTTGATATTGCTAGTATTTCTCCTTTGTTTTTGAGAATGTGACACACAAAGTGAAAGGTCACCTAGATCTCCCAGAAGTGAAGCCTTCATGCTACATGAAACTTGCCATCTGCCCCAATAATGACCACATTTCTTGAACCATATACTGTATCATATGAGCTAACCTGCTCCATCAAGAAAGAACTTTTGCAGTAAGAACTATACATATATTTCACATATGCATTTTTTCCCTAGTAATTCTGCTCTGGCCTTTTTGGTGTGTGGCAACGATCCTATTTTCAGAAGGTTTTTCTCCCCAGTCTATTCTTAGTGTCAAGTCCTGTTCCCACCCTTGTGTTTGCTACCACATTCTCTCTGCATTGTGATTCAGGATTCTGAAGGATTGCTTACCTCAAGCTAGACCTAAACATCTAGTAATTTAAGCTCCAGGTGTAAGTTATAAGTGAGTTAGACCACACAACAGATTTAGGATGGGCTACTGACAGAAAGACATATTAAAAATACATTTCCCACTCAGGAGTAAAATGTGAGAAAAACAAAGAGAGTTTCACTAAGAGACAACCCACAAGTAACGCAAGGCAGGATCCTTTTAAAAAGTGGCATTTCTATAGTTCTTCTTTTAGAAAAAGCAAACGACCATGAAATAGCTAACCAAATGCAGGCCATATCCAATTTCCTATTCCCTCTGCATCTGCGGCTCTTGATAGTGATCACTAAAGTTCATCAACTCAAATAAAAAGTAGAACAAACAAACATGAGCTGTCTCCTCAATTCAGTTTCCTAAAAAGTTCAATTGACCAAATTACCCCACCTGTCTTTTTGGTGTACCTTTATGCAGAGTCAACAAGGAGGTCTCTAAACAAAAATCTGCCCTCTACCATTTTGCTTGATTCTACTTTTCATATCATAGAGCAAAATTAATAAACTGTGCAGGTAATGAGCTAGAGAGATGGGTCAGTAATTAAGAGCACTTGTTGCACTTGCAAAAGACCTAGGTTTGGTTCCCAGCATCTACCCAGGTCCAGAGGATCCAGTACATTCTTCTGACCTCTACAGGCACCAGGCACATGCAATGCACACACATACATACATACATACATACATACATACATACATACAAACATAAGGGAACTGGGAGGAGTGGAAGGAAGGAAGGAAGGCTGGGGTCAGGATATATTCCATGAGAGAAGAATAGATAAAAAGAAAAAGAGTACAACTAAAAAAAATGTGCAGGAAATAGACGGGAACTCAGGAGACACAGATACTGGACTTTGGATTGCTACTTTCTTGCTTTGTGGCCCTAAACAAGAAGCGTAAGTTTGTAGTACTCTCATTTTTTTTTTTTTAAAAAAAGAGCATAATGATTTTCCTAATAAAGTACCTCTCAGTGACTCAAATTACTCCTGGTTCAGGATGCTGAGTGATCTTCATAGAGTGTTCCAAATACATAAGTCTGCAACTCGGACAAGTGCAGAAACATTTAACTTATTCACTCCTACAGACCCATAAGTGTTCTAGAGCAATGAACATCAGAGTCATTATTGACCCATTTATTTATTAAACCACCATAAGGGATTACAAAGTATACTGAAAATAAAAAAGGGCTTTATCAATACCATGTAGCCATAGTAATGGTGCTTTTTAAATGAAATGCTGTGATACTATAAACGTACTCATCACAGTGTGTAGCAGGTAATAAACAATGAGTAGGAGCTTACTCAGGGACTCTGTATCTATGTAGCCATGACATCTGAGGTATGTCAACCTGTACTCTAATAAATGCAAAGCCTCCACAGATTCTATTTTCAAGTATGGCTTGGTCAATTTCAGATAATTAAGCTGAAATGTGATCTAAATGACTTGCTTATAATATCTGTCCTTGCTCTAGAATGGAGAAACTTCAATAGGTAGTTTATCCTAAGAAAATTTTGGAAGTTTCCCCATATTTCCCTCACCCTAACCATAGTTCCTACAAAAAAAATGAGGAACACCTTGTAATTTTGAGCCACTTAGGTACTTTGGCCTGTGGTGATCATTCTGTTTTGAGATGCCGGTAATGTGCTAAGAGTCTCAGTTCTACCTTCACCTAAGTTGCTTGTGTTCTTTTGCCCCCAGAATGCAGAGTCATGAAAGGGAATCCATCTGCCACAGCTGGCCCAAAAGCTTCCCCAACACCTCAAAAGACATCAGCTAAGAGTCCAGGCCCAATGCGTCGCAGCAAGTCTCCAGCTGACTCAGGTAACGACCAAGACGGTGAGTGTTCTTTTCCTATTGTTCATGTTGACTTCATTTATAGAATCTGATAACCTCTGCGTAAGATAAATGGCTTCTTCAAGGTCACCAGTGTCCCCAGGAAGACCAATTCTATCATTTCAGAGATATAAAAACAAATTTGTTTGGAGACAAACACATATGTTCCTCAGGAGCTGCCCACCTTGATTTTTGAGATAGATCCCTCACTGAGATTTGGGGCTTGCTGATTAGGCTGGATGTCCAGCATGTGCCAGGAAACGTTTGTCTATGCCTCTCCAGTGCTAATATTACAGGCATATGCACCACCACACTGGCGTTTTAATATGTAACTATCTCCTTAGCCCTTGGGCCAAGGGATATAAAACAACAAGATTCTATGAAAGAATTATCTGTGGACTGTCCTTTGTTAAACCTAAGCAGCCTTCCCTGAGTGTTTTGACCTTCCTGAGAGACTAATTCTGTTTAATAGAACTAACATGGATCATAATGCAAGCTTTCTATGTTGTATGCTTTTTGAAAGTTGTATTACTAATCACACAAAATAATGAGTTTCATATGACATCACCACATGCATACTGATTAATTTAAATATTTAATGGTTACATTTAAAAATTAAAAAACAATTAATATAGATAAATTTTATTTACTAATCCATTCAAAGATAATTATTTCAGCATTTGACCAATATAAGAAACTACTGAGATGCTTACCTTCTTTGAAACTGCTCTGTATTTTATACTTAATAAGCACATCTGAAATCTGAAATCTGATTAGCCACATTTTAACGTGACTAGTGACTATTTACTGTATTAAACAACATAAGAATCCCTTATTTTGCCAAAACAGTTTCATCATTTCTGTTGTCCATCATAATGACACTATGAATTAAGTTACAAAAGGATAGCTATCTAGGTCATTGTTTTTTTTTAACATTGGAAACCGGAGGGGCAGTTCAGATTCTCAAGGTCTTCCCAATGTCACACAACTATTCAGTATTCAAGGACCAGAATTCAGGATTCTTCTCAGCAGGCATTGGAGGCAGGGTGTGGGATTCCCAGTGTGTTGAATACAAAGATTTCTTTTGGATGGTCCTTGCTTCTCAGTATCCTTCTCCCTGGCCCCACCTCCAGGTGAAGGGTGTGGGAAGGCCAAGGGATATTGGGGTGCTTTCTGGGTCATTATTTTATGTTGAATTGAAAACAAAGGTAAGTTGGTGCCCTTGTTTCTAATGGTCTGCTCTGAACAGATTCCATTAATCCCTCTAATGTCACTTCAAGGTAGCTGATAGAGTTGGCAGGGCTTCAGGAAGATAAAAATTCCCCCAAGTTTTCACCTTCTGGAGGAAAACTCATTTGTTTTAAAATATTGCAGTATTGACTACAGTTATATTTCAGTGGTAGGCACTTGCCTAGCATAAGTGAAGACATAGGTTCCACCCACATACCTTGCAAGGTTGGGTAAATAAATGTGTTTTCCAACAGGGAAGACTCTTCTCCATTTTATTTGCAGAATTCTCAACAGTGTAATTTCTAAAACATGGTAGGAAATAGATTTCAAATTCACATTTCATCTTGTAAATCTACAGTATCTTACAATCTATGATTGTATTTGGCTTGAGAAACAGCCCAACGAACAAATCCCTGAAGAACTGTTTCTGGACTCTCAGTTCTTGCTTCCTTGATGGATGAGTCTGGGAAGAGGAACAAAAGCATTTCTATTTAGCAGAAACAATTAACCAAAGCAATCCAGACACTGAAGCCAAGGGCATTTTGGAATGGATGTGTGACAACCATAGGTCTGTCTTTTGGCTTTGTTCTGAAGTGAGTCTTAGCTGGTCTGGCTCCACTTGGATAGCCTTCCAGAAAAAGTCTCTATGCAAATACAGAGGAAATAGAACATTTGACCAGAACGAAAGAAATCTTAGAGCATCTCAATATGAGAAAATGTGGAAATGACTGAACTGTGGGTTGAGATCTCTCTCTGTAAGGTATTAAGGAGATAAAAATGTAAGACTGATAATAAATCACACAAGGATCACAGTGGGAGATTGTGAAATGGATTTTGTGAACAAGTCCTGAAGCTATCATCCATAAAGGTGGGGAAGAGTAACATACTCTAAACACAACAAATCTTCTCAAATCCTTGTATCTTTGTTGATTAAAGAGATACTAGTAATCAGGAGAATCATGTGAGACCACATATTATAAAATGTTTTTAAAATAACCATAGAACAACTACTATTAATGGGGGGTGGTCTCTGGAGTTTTTGGACTTTTTTGGTAAGCTGAGATTACTTTGAGTATTTCAGAATAAACATCATATCAAAACCAACAGGCTTAATTTTCAGTGTGTTTCAGTATTGATATTCAATGGTCAAGCAAGTCAGGATGGAATGAGTGAGCATTAATGTCAGTTTGGTATCTATTCATCCATGGTTAGAGGCAAAGCACACACCAAGAGACCCTTACTTTTCTGCGCCATTCTGGTCAGGTGAACTTGAACTAAGAAAGTGTAATACAACTTGAATTACTCACTACCTAGACACCTCTTTAGTCACTATACTTTGGATCACTTAGACACATCTTATGTGCAGCTACATACATCTTAGTCTTCAGGAATGTGTGTATCCTCTAGACAAGGGAACATAAAACCTGGAAACTCAGCATCAACTCTACATGGCTGGTGACACTGTTTCCTGTTTCTCTGACTATCCATGCTTGAAAGCAGACTCTTTTACTGTTCTTGGAAAACTAGGTAGGTCAACCTACTAACCTGACCAGCCATCCTGTTGGGTCATGCCCTGTTCCATTTAGACAGGAAATACTGATGGGACCAAGGAACTAAAGATGAGTTCAGAAGCAAGGACAGAACTAACTACCCCCAAAGTCCTGTGAGACAAGACCATGTGGGGTTGAGCTTGGCAGTTGTGCCGCACAGCTGAAGAGTGTCAACTAAGGGAGTTGACAGACAGAACATAGATATCATCTTCTCTGAAAGTTCTGTGACATGAGGGGAGCTACACCACGCTGGCTCCGTGGGTTCTATTGTTTTGTGATATTGTGTAGGTGTCCAGCTGGTTTGCATAATTGAAAAAAAAACAAAACATCTCTTGTTAACTGCTTTCTAACTTGAACCAGATCAGACAGGTTAGTTGTTTTCTTGAAGATGTGCCCCAGCTCTGGCAGCTGCTCCTACAGTCTTCTTGGCCCTTTCTTTTTTTCTCTGCCACCATTTTCCCTATTTCCCGTAGTCCCTGTGAAAAAAATTGTTAGAGGAAGAAATCCCAGGAGTGTTTGTTTAAAAACGGAAAGGTCTATGTTACAAAAGTTGAAAACAAAGAGAGAAGAGTATATATAGGCTTTGGAATCAGAAATCCGTACACCCAAATCTTGACTCTGCTTCCTCTCCATGGAGTAAATGTGTATGGGTCAGGGAGAGGGTTGATGGTTCTGTGGTTAACTCATCATAGACACCCAGTAAATGAATAATCTTATTTTTGAAAATATTAGAAAGGTAGCCAAAGAGGTTGAAATGAATGTGACACACCTCATTGCAAAGGGGAATAAAGGAATTCTACTAAAAGAAGAAATGAAAGGATTTGGTCTATGTATAAAGCTAAGTGCAGTGAGACAGTTTCGTGATTCGGAAGAGGAATAGGAAAGACAAGAGTCAGTAAGGGAGAAGAGTCCCTTCCAAGGTGTTCCCCAATTACCAGAGAGCTAAGGAAGATAGCAAGGGATAAGAAAGGTTATCAATCAGTGGTGCAACTTCCATTCACTCTCAAGAAAGGCAACAGGATACTCTTTCTATAACAGTGATTCTCAACCTTCCTAATGCTGCGACCCTTTAATACAGTTCCTCATGTTGTAGTGACCCAAAACCACAAAATTATTTCCTTGCTATTTCATAACTGTCATTCTACTACTGTTGTGACCCCAAACGGTCACCACCTACAGGTTGAGAACCACTGTTCTTTAAGGACCTGCCAGTCCAAAAGCACACACCAAGTTCACCAGACCCTATCTACACTACATCCTGCTTCTTCTTTTATTTGATATTTGTAAGAATTTGGTCTAGGATCCATAACAAATGGTATCATTTCCAAGCTTTTCTCATGGTCTGAAGACAAAATGTGTATGTAAATACATTTTTGATCCATGCTTTAACTACAGGGGTTCCTTCAGTTTGCCAATTCACATCTACAAGTTTCTCATTTCTGTGTCCATTTGCAAATTTCATCGCATCAGCATATTCTGAGACAATAAGGGAGAATATTTTCAGTTCTTCAACAACGTAGGACATGGCAGTTAAATTATGAAAAACTCGTGTCCATGCTTGTAGAAGGTCAATGATAAAGGCTTTTATTTATGAATAACTTAAGATTGGTCCAGTACTGTAGGGATATGAAAACAGTATAGAACTCCTGTAATAAGCATTTAAGAATCATATGCAGAGACTATAGAGAAAAGCACATATGAAGTGTATATTTGTGTACTACCTCTGAAGTTGTTGGTTGAAAAGAGTTTCTGAAGATATGGAGAAAAAGATCTGGAAGTTGAAGAACCTGAATACTCAGATCTGTAGTCAGTCGATGAAAACTGACACATGCACATATTTGTGACTAACAGTTTTCCATGTTTTGGCAAGGCCACTGAGTTCATTCTCGGACAAATGTGAAAATAAAAGAGGACAATTTTAATGTTGGAGTAGAGTAGACACCCTTCATAGTTGGGGGGACTAACGAATGTGAGGAAAGGGGAATGTGTAGAGTATATAGCAACCATATGGAATAAATGCCCAAACTCAATCCAGGAATGTCTGCACACATCTTGTTAGTGCTCAGATCTCAAGTTAGAGCATTTTGTGGGAGACTCTACTTGGCAGTTTACAAAGATCTCTAGGATTTCTCCTTATTCTGGAAGCTTTTGCCAGGTTCTTCTGGGAAAGTCTTTGGGCAATGTAGATAGTCCATTAATTCTTTTAACTATTAACTCCTTCATTTCCTTCCTACAGAGAATAAGTGACTTGTTGCAGAACCTCAGACTCTTACCTTTCTTAGAGTATGTCATTTAATTGCCAAAAAGCAAAGTCTGGTACTTAAGCACTGAATTTTGGCACAAGTAACGTCCTTTATTTGGAGGATGAGTTACAGGAGAAGTGAACACAATACTCTATACTTGTCTGCCATCTAAAACTCTAGCTACACAGTGGTCCTCTTTTCCCTTCCACATTACCTTAGTTGGAGCTATAAGCACTAATTGACTACTGCTATATCTTTTAAGTATGTTTGTTTCTGGTCTGAACCCATCCTATCCCATTCTAGTCTCATTTCAGAGGCTGGAGCAAGTTTTAAATTTAAACTTGTTTGTATACATTTCAGTTTAAAATGCTCGTGAGACTTTCCTTTAGCAATCAAACCCAAACTTTTATTTTATGAACTGGAAAAAAAAGCCTGGGACTACTGAGTTACTTTCCCAGACCTCAAATTGCTGAAAAAATTCCCGAGCTTCTGCTAAGTTGCTCACATTGGCCTTAAATTTGTAATCCTCCTGCCTCAGAGTCTCAAGTGCTGAGACTACAGGCGTATTCCACTACCCTAGATCCCCCCTAAATGTCTTAGTGGGTCACACAAAAGACCCACCAAAATCTTGCTCATGTCCTTAGTCTTCAGCTATATTTGTTTGCACATCCCTTCTGTGACCCTCCCTTTGAGCAATTGTGAGCTGCTTGCACGTTGGAAACACACTGTACTCTTTCACACTTTCTTGTCTTCTGGTGCAATTCGAACGCCTGGAGTACACTTTCTCCCCTCTGTGCTTAGCTCGTTTCTATTTATTTTCTTAAACATAGCTTTATTGATATGAACTAATTTAAAACCCACTGTGGATTGTAGTTAGCTATAGAGTTTGCCACAGTTATCATGACTTAATGCCAGAATAACTCTGACTCCAAAAACATCCCACTTTCTTCCACCTCTCCCCTCCTCTAGGCTCTGACAGCCACGAGTCTACCTTCAGCCTCTCGACATTTACCTCATCCCGATTCAGTTTTCAAAATGCTCAGGTGTTGCTTCTTGTTTACTTCCAAGACCTCTTATTTCAAATTCTGTCCTTTGGGCTCTAATAATATCCTGTGCAGGCCTTTATCCACATATATACTTTACTTAATCCTTGCTTTCCTCCCCCCAGGAAGTAATGTATTTATTTCTCAAGTCCAAATATCTAATCTTTGCCTCTCTCATAGGTGGTGTTCCATGGCTATTGTCTAGTGGTATGAATGGCAGATAGGAAAGCTTCTCAAGAGTAAATGAAAGATAACTGAATAAAGACAGTCAGTGGGTTCCCAAGTGGTCATTGTTCACCTCATTGGAGCATGAATAATCTCAGCAACCTCTACAATGATGCAGCTTCTGTGTTCTGTGTCTTCCATTGATGAGTGTGCTGTCAAAACTAGGGAAATGTTATCATAAGTGGTGGAGAGGAGGTATATACTCGGGGAATACCCATGATATAGAAGTTTAAGCCATATCTGTGGGACTAACCCCAATATTCTTAGACTATCTTTTTATTCTCTCCCTCTGTTTCACTCTACTGTACACCTCTGAGACACTCCCCCCTGTTTTAATAACATACTTCAGAATATCTTTCTAGCAATGTAGGTCCTATGATTAAAGAATAATTCAGCATGAGAAAGCAGAACATGTCATGGAAAACCATTTAATTATCACATTTTGATGTGACACCTTTCTTTTTTTTCATATTAAAAGTGCTCATTAGCAGGAGGATAGAAAACAGCTTGAAATGGCAGTGGAATACCGAGATGTTAAAAACTCAGTCATCTCATTTCTATCATGTTCTTGACTGGGGACAGATTGGGGTTGTGCGTTGACGGTGTTCACAATTACTTAGAATTAATTTGTGTCTCTGCATTTTGCTCTGTCCTCAGTATTTAAATCTTTTATCTTTGTCTCCATTCCAGATCTTCCACTATTTTGAATTCTCTCTTCTGCTCCATTTTTGTGCATTCGAGCTTTTCTTTACAATTTACTTTCTGCTGCTCCTCTAATTGATGTCATTCTGCTTTCTGACGGTCTCCTTCCTTCTGTGGTTCCTTCCTTCTGTGCTTTCCTGCTTTCTGTTTCTTTCCTGCTGTTGTTGTCACCCAGGACACGGTAGTAAAGGAAGAGGAGGTGAATAAGAAATTGTGGAGATTGATAGTGGGTCTGTCGTACATCAGTCTCATTCAACTGACTCCAAAGTAGATATGTCCTAGCCCAAAGTGCTCATATTTCTTCCCCTTAATGGAAGGCACATGCGTTCTCTGTATCTTATCTTTCTTACTGCAAAATTTAAAGTCAAATAATGCTTTCTCAAACAGCCTCCCAGAGATGTGAGGATCAAACCTGGCGATTAAAATGAAAAAGTTTTGAAAGGAAATAGATCCCTGTTACTGAGAAGCACTGGGCAGGGTGAGGGTTATGGATGCCTTGCCCTGTGCTGGACCACATTAACTGAGGGTGGCAGTTCCTAGGGCATTTGAACAGTGTGTTTTTTTTCACTTTGGTTTAAGTCTATCAAACTTTGTACCTTGTTTGAATGCTCGTAGTGTCTTAGGAGGAGAAAGAAGCTGCTCTTTTATATGCTGTTGGTTTTCATTCTTTCCCTTTCTCTTGCCTTGGGTTAGCAAATGGAACTTCCAGCAGTCAGCTGTCAACACCCAAATCGAAGCAGTCTCCTATCTCTACACCCACAAGCCCAGGAAGTCTGCGGAAGCACAAGGTATTATGTCTCTTATACCTTACTAAACCCCTTTGCACTCAGAGTTTCTTAAAAGGCTGCATAGAGATTTGCTGACCCACTGTACTTCAACAGCACATTTTGAAGTCAGAACTCACCTTTGTTGACTCCATTAAGTTGAAGTCCCAAGAATTCCAGCAGAGAACAAGCCTTGAGTCAGTTTTATTGATTTCTCTAACCCTCACTTTTAACATTTTTTCAGTTACATTTTAGCATTTCATCCAAAGGGGTACCAAGATCTCAAATATTTATTCTGAAGTAACGACAGAAAGCAAACCACAGGCACTTGCCCCACCAATTCCAACATCTAGCAAAGGGGATGCTGAGGGTGCCTTGTGTCATTAGGCACCAGCCAATGGAAGTAATATAAATATAGTAGTTAAAAGTTGCACTGAGTTGGGGCTGGAGAGATGGCTCAGTAGTTAAGACTATGTACTGCTATTCTAGAGGACTAGGTTCAGTTCCCAGTACCCATACCATGTGGTTCACAACTAATTCTAGTTCTAGGGGATCTGATGCCCTCTTCTAGCCTGCACAAGTACTGCACACATGTGATGGACATGCTTATGCTCAGACACAAACAAACATTACAATTTTTTAAAGGTTGCTGTGAGTTACTCTCTTCAGATTTGCAGGGTATCGATGAACATATGGAGCCTAGTTTTACTGTGTGCATTCTTCATTACTAGGAAGATTCATGTGAAGTGTATGCAGAAAGCAAACAAATATTTTATCAATGGCCTTGGGCACCATTTTGAACTCTGAACTTTATATGTGTTCCGTGGTACAGGAAAGCACACACACACACACACACACACACACACACACACACACACACACACACGCAGTATAACTTTAAAAAAGTTCATAGCATACCACTATACCACTATCTGATAAGTCTTGTCATTATCTTTCTTTAAAGCATGCTTTTAGTTTCCTGTTTAATTTGCATGCCCTTTTGCATGCCCTATTTTTGATAATGCCCATTCCTTCCCTTTAATGACCCCTTTTATTTCTTGTATTGATCCGGACAAGAACCTTTGGATAATCCTTCTTCACCTACTGGATTTCAGAATATGCTCAACTGTCTCTGTAGTCTGTGTTACTGGGAGATTGTAAGATGGATGAAATGCATTTTACAGTCAGTTTTTGGTTATTTGCTAAGTAGCAAAATTTGTTAATATATACATTACAAGATGGAAACAACCTGTCTCCAATATTTCAGTGTCATGAAGATCCTTCTAGACTACATTGCTTCTTAGTGTACCTTCACCCTAGGCCTTTCTGCAACTATCTTCCTTTCTGGGAAGTGTGCTCTCCACCAGTACTTTCCATTGACTTTTCCCAGAGTGCCAGATGCAGCTTAGGCTCCATTTTCTCTGCACACTTGTACCCCTCAGCCTTTTGACTGTCATGTAACCCAGTTCATTTGCGTTGAGGACCCATTCTTTGTAAAGCTTTCAGGTGAGTTTTGGCATTATCAAATTTGTTTCTCCTGGTTGGACTTGTAGACACTTGTGACTTGTTTATTTTTTTCACACAGTTCTGTAAACAAATTTAGTCACTGAAGAACTAGACAAAGCTCATGAGTGGCGGCATTGTCAGAGCTGGTACTGTTATTTTCTCTGTAGAGTTCTCAGTGTATTGTATTTTTAAGATTAATTTTTCTTAAGACAGAAAAACAAACACAGGTTAATAAATTATACCATATTTTTCTAGCTAAACCTTCAAATTAAATATACATGTAGATTCTGATATAATATTACTTTAAAAATATTTTCTACCTCATCAAACTTAAAGATGAATTGTAATAATAAAGACCCTGTATTCTTTTTATGCACATTTAACAGTAATTTCTGCTTTGCTCCAATTACCTTGTTTCCTGTGCTCTCTTTTTATTTCTGTTCATGTATAAGAACACATATAACCTTTACTTTTTGCCATTTGAGTCATTTGAGATTAAGTTGCAAGTAGCATGCCCTATTACACTGAAAAAATCCAATGTGTTTCCTAAGGACAAAAATGGTTTATAACCATGGCACAATTTTCAACATCATGAAATTTAATCAACAAAGACATAAAACTATTATAGTCTGTATTCAAATTTTATCAGTTGCCTCAGTGACATTCTTTTTCTGGTCCAGGATCTAATCTAGGATCAAATATTACATTTATCTGGCTATATTCTTTTAGTAGTTTTTGATCTGGAAAGGTTCCTGTGATTTTATCTTTCAGTACAGTACATTCTAGAAATGAAGATGTACATCCCCTTCTGTGCATTTTATCAGGAAGCAATGGCCTCACATTTACATGACCAAAAATGGAGATTGAGCTGATTTTTTGGTATAAGCTAAAAGCTGGTTGTGACCTTGATTTAGTTCTTCCAAATCTTAGGTCCGAGCTTTGCATCTGTCCGTTCACTCTGCTTGCTACCTGAGCCTTAGAATCACCAATCTCCCTGGGCAGTGGCCAGAGCAGATCTCATGTGAACTTCTGTCCAAGTGGACCTGAAAGGTGTGAGTCATGGTGGAGACAGGAAGCAGGTGGCCAAGGCAATCTCTTTTCTCCTATGCAATTGGAAACAATCTTGAAGTCTTAGCATCCCCTTGGTAACTTTTGATTGCTGTGCTGGGGCTCTAAGCTGTAATCAGATGCTTGGCTTCTCTTAGGCAGCTCATGGAGAATCCTCTTTAATGCAGCTGCAATGGGGTTAGCCAAAGTCCGCATACTCAAGTGCTGCAATATGGACACACAGTACATCTTAAGGTAGTTAATGAGAACAACATTTCATTTTATATTTCTATACTGCTTTAACCTTTCACAAGCCATGTTCCCACTTATCCTTGAACTATCCCTGTGAAAGAGAAAGGACAGATAGATAGCCTTCCCATTTTACAGATGAGGGCAAAAGTTAAGAGATTAATGACAGCCTCAGTATGATTTAACAAATATTTATTGAAGACTGTTTTTGGAGCTAATACCTGGTAAAAGATGTTTAAAAATACAGAAACATAGAAAAACTCTTTGATTTAATTAAAATGATTTTCAGATTAGTGATTTCACCCACAATACTAAACTTGAAGAATTTTCTGCAAAATGGCAATGAAAGTATGTCTGACACAGTGCCTGAACATATAACTAACATCATTTAAATATACACTTCTATTTGCCATCCTAGGAGTGGTCAGAAAGACAGTTTGATGAACAAAGTAGGGGCCTGATCCTGAGATCGCAGGCACAATTCACTTGAATGTATGTGGCTTTGGATAACATAAGGAAAAACACAAAACAGGGTGGGAAGGACATTTGATGGGGACCCAAGGAAGGTGGGAACTGGCAAAGACTTCCCACAGGTGATGTTTAACTGGCGTCTTGGAGGCTAGATAAGCTTTGAAAAGCCTGACAAGGAGGCAAACCGACACACAAGCTTTAAAACATCAGTAAGAGCAATGCTACCCCACCAAGAAAGCACAGGGTGTGTTGGAAAAATAGCAAGCATAACTAGAAGCTAGGTTTCCCCAAAGTCCTTCCTGATTTCTCTTGGACTATAAGCTTCTTGGACCAAAGACCAACTTTTTGTTTTCTCTAATGCACTAGTATTGCCAGCACAGCTGTATTTGTTACAAACATTTTGTTCTGTAGGGCTCCAAGGGACTAAGCAAATGAATTTCAGGTGCAAATTATTTGTATTGTTAAGCAATATGTGTGTTTCTGTATTTCTACATATCAATCAACAAAAACAGAATGCTGAGGTAATTACTTTTCCTGAACATTGTTCTTCCCTTACAAAAACCCCCAGGCTTAGAATATGAAATGAATTAATAGAGGTATGGAAGCAGTTCATACCTAGTTTATGCCTATGGATTCTCTTTATGGTCTAAATCTTTACTCGTTCTAAGTCACAGAAATTTCAAGTAGAGTTTTCACAATTCTACCCCTTAGATTAATCACAGGCTCAAATTTAAAAAAGCCTGTGATTTTCAGAATAGTTTTTTTGAAGGCATGACCCATCTTTACATTGTCTAAAACAGAAGCAATAGAGACTGAAAGTTATAAATATGCCGCGAGTAGAAACACAGGAAAAAGCTGTGAAGGAAATGGGAAGATATAGATCAAATGATATAAAGTAGTAGATAAATTGGATGAATAAATATGCAGCTCTAACATACAAAGTATATTGTAGCTAAAAGCTATAATAGCAATACAAATATTAGAAAACTATTAAACTTAAAGCAAATTTGTTACTAGGGAAAAATAAAATTTCTGGTGGTGAAAGGAAGGGCCAATGCTTCCAAAAAATGTATTTATAAATACATGTTGGCCCCTTAAGAACATTGCATTAGTATATGTGAAACAGAATGTGATGGAATTAAAATAGGTACCCCAACTGTATTAACTGAAAATTTCAATACCTCTAATTGAATAATGAGTATAATCATAAGATAGAAGGCCAATAAGTAAGTCCTTAGGGTCTTGGGAAGGACTACAAGATATTTCTCTGTCCTAGTTCTAAAATCTCATGAACTATGAGCCCAATAACTGCATTTTGTTTCTTTTAATTGTGTTAAAAGGCAAGACATGAGATGGATACTGAAATGCAGTGATATTTCTCAGGAAATACATAAAACCCATGAATAATATAAAGGCCATTGGATACTTTTACCCCCAGTGAAGCCCTGGGCTTCAACATTCAGCTCAACATTCAATTGTTTAATTGCTATCTTAATACAATCTAGATTAATACCAGCTTTATTTAAATTCTGTCTAAAATTTTTGCTACAGGGTAGCACCATTTCTTTCCCCCTCTTTTGGCCTCTTATAAACATACCAATTATGTCTTTATACACAAAATGTCCATCAACACATTTTTGTAATTACCAGATCATACAGTTGTCATATGAAATAAACCAGACACAGAAAGAAAACTAGTGCATGATCTCACTTAGGTGTGGAATTGTTTTAAAGAAAAAAAATCAAATATCTAGAGATGGAGAACAGAACAGAGCTTACCAGAGGACTAGAGGGGTGGAGAAAATGGGACGTGCATATCATCAGATATAACATAATAGACAAGCTATATGAACAAAAATACAAATCTAATCTACAAAGTGGCTGAATTTAATAAAACTACTATGAAGGAAGTTTATTTAGTTGCCCTTCTTATACAGGAAAAGAACTGTATGATTCCGTAGATATTTGCTTCTCTATAATAACTATTATTATTTATATGTATTCCCATAATTTCATGTTGTAAAAGTCAAATATATATGATAAAATATAAACACATTTTCAATCAACATTAAAAGAAAAGAATTATAAAATTTAGTGTATACAGTCTCTGGAATGTATTTGCAAAGTTGCCCTATTGGTTTTTTTATTAGTGGGTCTGAATTATTATCATGGCTCCTTGAGTGACTCTCTTTAATATTTGTTGTAGGACAAGTATGCCAGTGGTGAACTCTGTGTCCATGTTTGGCAGGTGATGCCTGCATTTATTTCTTATAGTAAAAATTTGGATTCGAAAGGATTTTCTGAAATGTTTTGAGTAAGATTTTGTTGTTGATGGTCTACATGAATGTTGGGTCATGATTTTTAACAGTCTATCAGGTGGTTGATGACTGTACTTTAGCCTTTAATGTTGCCTGCACAAGGCTTCAAAGTCATCTGGGGCTGACAGATTAGGATCATCTCAGATTTTTACTGAGCGTGCACTCAGTCACCAACTTGTAGCTGGCCACTTGGATTCCCAGGAATATATGTTAGAGAGTTTCAAAGTTCTCCATGGACTGCTAATTTTTACAGCTTTTCCTCGTAGGGTTTTTAGACATTTTATTTACCCCAGCTTTTACCCCTGGACACACTCACACTTTATGGAAAGCCATTATTTTTGAGACAGGGTGTCACAATGTAGCCCTGGCTACCTGGCACCTGCTGTAACAATCAGTCAGCCCTCAAACTCAGGAATATCTGCCTACCTCTGCCTCTCACGTGCTGGGGTTAAAGGCATGCAGCATGACACCAAGCCTGGCTATGAAATAATTTTTAAACAATTGTATTGATTAATGCTTCTCGAAAATGCTGACTGTAGCAAGTGCTCTATCTGAATCAAATCAAATAAAGGAGAACTCTGTGAGAAGGCGTATCCAGAAGGCTCCTACTCAGGTCAACATGACAATTCTTTGGAAATAAGACATTGCTGATTCTCCCAACACAACTGTGTTACTCAGTGGCTCTTAGGTTGCAGTTTTGATGAATATTGGGGGTTGCTGGTTTTCAAAGATACTGTGGAGTTTGGCAGAGGGAAAATGAAAACAGAGCAAGCCAGGACACCAAAAATCTTAGTAGTCTTATTTAAACTCGGTCATTTTTCTTGAATAAATGCTTCTTGTTTTGTTATAAGCCTTTCATTCATTTCCAGAGTTCTGAAAAAGTTGATTTTGAGAGTGTTATAATATTTATGAAGGATCAAAATTTCACAGCCCCATGACACCCTTCTATGAGTCTGCATCTCAAAGATGCTTTTGTCCATGAGCAATTTTCACCGTAGGCATGCGCTTGAGAACTAAATCCAGTTACAGATTCAGTTCTACTGTCCATTGCTTTGCTTCAGTCCAATTTTATGAGGGGTTTTTGTACTTCTTTTGCTTCCTCTGCATTGTAATTCTTACATGCACACACCCACAATCAAATGAGAACATACCAACCTGCAGGACATTGACTTTTAGGGGAAGTTGAGTAAGGAACACATTGATATAATATAGGGCTACCTCTTCCTACAATTTTAAAGCTCCTTGTGGATGTATTAATCATTTTAAAGTAAAAACTAGAAAAATGCTATTTCAAACAACTAAAACCACTTCAAATCTCCAGGTACCGAGTACAGGAGAGTTAACTTTGTGTCTTCTCTTCTTACAGGACTTGTACCTGCCGCTGTCATTGGATGACTCCGATTCACTTGGCGACTCCATGTGAAAGATGATAGGCTATATAAAAACCTATCATTATAGCAGAATACTTTCGCTCAAGTGACCAACAAGGCTATTGGTGCTTAAACATTTTTGTTGTTGTTGTTGTTGTTGTTGTTGTTGTTGTTGTTGTTTTTCAAAACACTCTGTAGTACATAGGGTTTATTTTCTTGTGACTTCTCCTCTGGGCCACTAATTCACAATTACCAATTATAAGAAATAGATTGATAACCATCCTTTTGAGTGACTTTTCAGAACTGCCAAATGTGCTAGTCCATGACCTTTCTACTGAATGCTTAGGGGCCTTTGTATTTTCCCCACTCAATTTGTTCAGATAGTAGTCTTTCTTATGTGGAAGGCTGTTTACATACATATCACTTAAAATGTTTGTGTGTGGGGGAAACATTCATATGCAGATCTGAACGTGAAAAACCTAAGTGTCCCTTGCCTCTGTATCTTCAAAATGCTGGAGGATCTCAGGAGGGTGGCAAGTCAGATCCTTGGCCTCGCTCTTTGCTCTTAATTGAGCCTCCAGTGTATTGTCTAGCACTAATCCTGTCTGTCAAGGAGGAGAAACACCAACTACTTATAATGTGACACCATGTGCTTAGGGCTATTGTATAGGGCTAGCTGAAAGAGATGAGGCAGAATTGGGTGGAAAACTGCCCAAATTTCAGTAGGATTTATAAAGCACAGTGGATTCCTAGTCAACTCCTCTATTGGGGAAATTTGGAATCAATAAATAATTGATGAGTTTGGGCAAGTGATGTCACATATATGGTTCCTCCAGGAGGCTTTCCAACAAAGTTAGTACATGAATAGTATGGTATCCATCTAGTTCTGTTCTATTGAATGCCTTGTAAACAACCAACCCTACAAACACTGTGAGATTTTGTTTTCAGGTCTGACACCTTTTGGTCGCTTTTTATAGCAAGAAACCATATCCTTTTTATAAAAACTCAAGTCTGTATTTCAGGAGCAAAACTCTTCAGGCTCCTTTTTTATAAACTGGTGATTTTTTTCCTTTGTCTAAAAAACACAAGCAGAAAATTTACTAAAAAAAAATGCAGAAGAATACTGTAGTTTAGAAATCACGCTCTCACTGCCAAACAGAAAACTCCAGGAGAAAACACAATGACTAGAGGCCAATTCAATAGAATCAGTCTTTTGATACCTTTTTAACAGTTACACTTACAGTAATAATTTCAATGTGGACCAGACATCCTAATTATATTTTAAATGAAATGTTATGGCATATTTTAAGTAACTCTTTTTTATCGATAATCCTAATATTTCATACTGAAGATACAGAGACGTTTCACGTGTCTTTAACATTAGAAAGGGTTTCTCTTTATTATGGATTAATCACTTGAAATAACTCTTAGTCTTTGAGGTTTATAACACTGATTTTTGTCTGTAATCATAGCCCATAATAGCCAAGACAACTAAATTTAGGTGAAAGCCATGCATGCCAAGTCTGTGTTTGATTTTAATAGGTAGGAAGATTTCCTTTATTTCTTTGTAATTGTTTGATCAGTTAGTTTGAAAGAAGCATCATTCAAAGCCATGATGTTTGGCTTCTGAATGATACGCAGTAGTCCCTCCATTCTAAGTAGAATGCGTGTGGGGTTCCTGTGTGTGTGTGTGTGTGTGTGTGTGTGTGTGTGTGTGTGTGTGTGTAGGCTGTTTCATAATTAGGAAATACTGCAGGACAACTCAACATGGATTGATGGCGACTTGGTGGTATTGCTGATGTGCAGGGGAAAATAGATGGGCGGGGTAGCTAGAGAGCCCCTTGATAATTTTCAGATGTCCTTAATTACAAGATTACAAAAAACATTGTTTTTCTTTGGTTCAGGAGAAGTGAGATGATGGGAGTTCTGGTTTCTGGTTAAACTGGCCATTGAAGAACCCAAAATGATGAGGTTTTGCTCTTGCCCTTCCTTTATTTGTATACCCACATGAAATGATTAAGAAGCCCATTTGACTTAGCCCCCATTTCTTTCTAGAAGCTCAGTGTGTTCTTAGTGCCTCCCAGAACATTTGCGTTAATTAGGGCAAATTCGTTATTGGGGATGGATAGAAATAATGGTGGGAGGTCTATTTTTAATCTCTGGGCCAGGTCCTCCAACACACTCTACGTCGGTCTTTCAGCAAATCACTTGTAGTCCCCTGTCTTCATTTAAGATGAGAACATGAAGATCCAGACAGCTTAATGAGCTGCTAGCAGAGAAAATTCAAAGTTCCTCATGCCCATGCTTCTTGGTAGTTGTCTAAGTATTTTCTTACTTGTGGCATATACAACACTAGAAAATACGTTGGACATATTTTCTTTAGAATGTTCTTGGAACAGACACTCTTCTATAACAACAGTGCCCTTTCTGTCCATCTTTGAACTAACTACAAGGAAATCTTTTACAAATATTTTTCATTTATAGGCATGCACATATATACATGTAAGAACACATTTTGTTTTTACAGCTACTTCATGTGGCAGGGCTTGGTATAGTTGAAAACTCAAATCTCCAATAACTTCATTTAAAATTGGCTCATATTTAAGTAAATTTTTTTTGCAGAACTGGGCTCATATATCCCCCTTATTCATTTCCAATTTTATCACTTTAGACCCATTGTGTTGAGTATGCATGGTCAGCAAGCATTTGCCACCGCTTCCCATAATGTCTCCCTTTCTATCACACACACACACACACACACACACACACACACACACACACACACACACACACACACACACTCCATGTTGCTTGTTCCTACCTCCTGACTTTTCTTCCCCACAGAAGTAGAAATAGAGGCAAAAAGGGAAATGTATATATAGGGGCTGGGTTGACAACTAACTTCATAAGTAGTGGTAATTAGAATTAGTGAGAGAAAAGCTTTTCTCTCATAACTGTTTTGGAAAGGATAGCCATTAGCATGACTGCTGTGTGTCCTTACGGACTTAGTATTAGCCTAGAATGAATCATAGCATTTTCTAGCTGGAAGGAAGCTTAAGATCACATCATCTGCTCCAAATTCTTCATTTTCTTAAGGCCAAGAAACAGAGAAAGAAGTAAAGTAATTTCACCCCAAGGTCGCACAGCTGCCTGTTGGCAGTGTTGGGATTAGAACCTACACCTCTTGGCTCTTATTCCAGGGTCTTTTCCAACTAGCCAGTATTGTCTTCTGTGAGGCTCCCGAAAATTCTTTCCCAGGGTCATGTTGCATCCTGGATCCATATGCTACTTTGTTGATCTCAGCAAGAAATCCACTTAGCAACCTAATCTGGTCCTTTCTCCTCACATTCTCATTGTTTCATCCACATGGGTTGCAGATAGCCCCAAAGAAAGTGAGGACCGGAGGGTTGATGCCCCACCTTCCAAATACCCACCTCCCATCTCCTGCTCTGTCCAAGTGGAATGGAAAATGACTACTTTTCACCTTATCAGCTTCCTTCAATGTCGTTTCACACTCATTATTTCTCCCAGGATAAGGGAGTTGTTTCTTGTTTCCAGAGCAGAGAAAATAAGAAATGTAGAGCGATAGCTTTGTTTATTCTGATTTTCTGAGATGACTTTTTTTTATCATTTTAAAAACTAGCCTCACTAGCATTTCTACTAACAACAATTTCTTTAAAATATGGTAGTGAGCCAAGCTAGAGAAAGATAGTCAAGTCTTGTAACTGTCCTCAGTCTCAATGTCCCCATAGCCACACTACTCTGATGTAAACAATTTTCAAGTATAAGCAAGTAGTTTTGTCACTAAATTGTCCCCTGACCATTAAATATTGGTTCTTTGTACTTGTACCAAAATAGCACATGGTAACCTTACACATTATATTATATTCTAGCTCTTTGTATAGCCTATTTTTGTGGCTTTCCATGACAGAAATTAGGACAACATGATCTGTACGTATGGGTTTCTTTGCAGCAAGGCTCTCTGGGAACTAATTAAAATTAATTGAGCTCTAAAAGACCTCTTAACTAGATATACCCAAGTTCAGGAACTCTTTTCTCCTCCTCTCCAGTTGGGAGTGACCAAGGAATCCTAAAGTGGGTGTGTAGCTTCTATATTCTGGATACTTCTTAGAATCATCCAGCCCAAATTTAAGGCAAGTAACACAGTGCTTGTTTTGTATAAAAGTGTGTGTCCATCCCCATTCTCTTCAATATTCTAGGTAGAGATTCCACCATTCCCTCTCACATTTGCTTCCAGATGGGTTTCCCTTTTAGAAAACAAAGAAGTAATACAAACCCTTTGGATGGGAGAAGTAGCATGTCCATGTGTCGCAAATGAGCTTCTGCAATGATGAGAATATTTCAAGAGACTAGGCTGCCTAAGGAACAACTGTGCTAAGAGAGACTTCTCTAGCAGAAGCTCCATGACAGTGTAGCTTTACTGACTTTCTTCACCATGGTCTAGTTTACTATGGAAATAAAAGGCACTGGATATTTCTCTTTTCTTTCTTTTTTAAACTGGTGGTTGGAGCTTGTTCTTGGCAACAGAGGTCACTTGGAGCTATATCTAGGCCTCATTTATATATTGCCTTCACCATATTAAGAGGTTTAGCTTCTAGGCTCAAACTGGTTTCCTATGAGGGTCGGGGTTGGGACTTGAGAGATAGCTCAGCATTTTAGAGCACTGGCTACTCTTCCAGAGGACCCAGGTTAAATTCCCAGCACCCACCTGGCAGCTCACAACTGTCTGTAACTCCAGTTCCAGGGGATCAGACATGCATGAATGCAGGCAGAACACCAATGCACATAGAATATTTTTTTAAAAAAGGTCAGGGGTGTCTTGGAGTTCATATAGGGGCGTAGGAGAGTCTATAGTCCTATGGTTTAGACTTCAAGCTCTGAGAGAAGAAGGGATGAGTATTGACCTGGCCATTTAAAATATGTCAGAAGTCATCTAAGACCTCTTTTGTAACAACAGAACCCTGAAAATGCTAAGGCTGCTGGATTTCTTTCCAAGTCTGGAATTTAGAAGCTGCTATGTTTCTGCATCTGCCCTACTGAAAACACACATGTAGTACCACTCACTGTTCTGAGAATCATGCAGATTTCCTCTTCTTTAAAAGCATGGCCACCTGGAGCATGGAGAGGTCACTGACTTTTCGTGCTTCCTTTTTGGTTAGAGAGGCATCTCCCTTGGGGACAAAATGGAGTTTCCTTAGCCATCACACCAAAGGCCTCATTTATTCTTTCCATCTAGCCTCTTAGTATTGCTTTGCATATCTCCTCTTTAAGGATCGATGCAGAGATCACGCTTTTGCCAAGCTGCTGTGAGATTGGCTATCATTTGGGAAGCGAAGTGTTCCTTAGTTTACTGGTATCAAAATCTTCCGGAATTAGAGGTGGTTTTCCCCCTCTATCTGGGGTATTTGGAGCTAGGGTAGTAGAGAATTCTCATGGGAAAGTGAGGCACTTTCCTGCTTGGGTTCGAAGGGCAGGTGAGTTGGAAAAGGTCAAATAGAACACAGAAGTCAGAAAAGAAAATCTCGTAAACGAAAGCAAAGACCTGAAAGCATTGGAATTTCTCATTTCTGGACAATAACTCAAGGAAATAAGTGGCTTTTTGTCATTCTACTTGCTGTTTCCTTTCCCCATCTAGCTGCCTCAGTTTAAACTCTGCTATCAATCTCTCATTCCATAGTGAAAAAACACCCATTCTTTGACTTACACAGTCCTTCCCCTTATTTTGGAATCCTTTGCTTCTTCCCTGCCTCACTACTGGGTATATGCCTCTTAGCTTGTAAGTTTTGCCTTGGGATAGAAGAGAAATTGTTTTCAGTCTCAAAAATTTCAGGTCCTACCCTATTAAGCCACAAGTAGGTTGGTGGAAATCAACATGATTTTGGCCCTTTCTTCTTTTCTGTTTTAGTCTCAGCAGATCTTTTCGAGCATCGTTCTTACAGCTCATGGATGTTTAGGTCCTTACCTTCTAAGCAAGCATTGTACAGAACACTTTGTGCTTCTTTTTTAGTCTGCCATTTCGTGCAACAGTGTAGTGTGCTCAGATAAATAATCAGCTGAACAGGAAAAAAAAATCCACCCATCCATTCAAATTGGCTAGATAGTCTTACTTGATTTCATTTAATTTGCTCATAGTTTTAAATAGCTGCAAAATAATATCACGAGAGACCACAGGTAATTGTTCCTGTCGTTTGGTTAGGTTGAATGGGGAGGGGAAGCAGGAACAATTTGTTCAAACTTTTACCACTACTCATTAAGCTCTCTGTTATAACATTATGATCTGTTTCTGCCTGTTGAATTGTTTAAGCTAAACTGGTAGGCAAATGAGTTTAATCTAAGCAAAAGAGTATTTAACAAATCCAGACTACAGAAGAAACTACTTAGTTGAAATGCATTTGTCCTTCTGATCCTAGATTTCCCTAAACATTTTCCTTTTTAACACCAACTGTTCATGATCCATCACAGGCTTTCCTTGTGTGAGTAATTAGTGGGCTTAAGAAGCCTGCTAATTAATTCAACAGAGTGCACAACCTCGGGAGTGTCACTGCTTGGCAATAACATATTCATTGCCCAATTTTTCAGTGACTTTTCTTTCTAAATTCTCTTAAAGATGTTTGAGAAAGTAAGAGGTTATGCTAAAATACATGCAGTGTTTGGTAGTGTATTATATTGCAGCATTAAGCCAACAACCCCTTATGACTTGTACACATCTAATGCATGGTTTGAGACTGGAGTTTGCATTTTTCATGTGCAGTAAATTATTTAAAATGTTTTTGGTCACCTTTTTGTGCCATTAAACTTGTACAGAAAATGCTTTTATGGCCATTTTCAAAGGGAGAAAGTTTAAAATGGAAACAGCCCACCCTTTCTGCCCTATAGCTGTAGTTAGACTTGAGTAACTGTAGCAGAACAGCTGTAATTGGTGGTTGTAGTGTTAGAGGTGTTAGCTTGCTAGTGACTACCTTTGGAGAGTAAATGCATGGTCTTGTACATCACATTTCTTAAATAACTCATTTTAACCTCTGAAAAGAATAGATTATCCCATGTGGCCCTCTTCCCTCTCTCCATTCCCTGCTCCCAGGTATCTTACAATTAACTGTAAATAACTGATTTAGGGGCCAAGAATTCTTGCCAAGTAAACTCAGCAAAGAGCAAATAAACCAAGATTGGGGGAAGGGTTGAGAAGAATTTTACAACAATTTATCAGAAGTTTTTGACCATTTCTCAAGGAATGGCGTGGTGATCAAAGACTCACCTCTCTTTTACACAAAAATCAGGAAAATTGGGAGTGTCTTTGCCAGTTTGCATTACAGAATTGAATTAATTCTTGGAATCACATAACCCAAAGATGTCCCTGATACCTGCGTTAGTTTTGAAGTATCTGGAGACATCAGACCAATAATTATTGGGGAAGAAGAAAAGCAAAACAGAGACATACAACACATATATAGGGGTTTCAGCTACCCCTCAGTCAGTAAAGCCAAGGACATGATGTGTTTAGATGTATTGCTGTCTTTTTCCCTGGTAACACAGCACACTCTTGGACTGTGGTGATGCAAAGGCAGTGTTTCAAGAAGACACTCTCTTTTTGGTTTACTGGTCTCTCTTGGACTGGTATGTTAGGCAAGGCCCATGTAAGCTGGTTAGAGCAGACCCCTTATAACTCCTGTGACTGTTAATCTCCCCCACCATAATTTGATGAGGGCTCTTTGGTTTGAGGACTTCAAGGTTGCCTAGGGAAGTTCCCCATGTGTGTGAGGTGTTGTGAACTGTGAACACTGTGCATATGCAGTGTTCAATGCTGGGCAGCCAAAGAGCTGTTCTTGCAATCTTTTTTGGCTCTCGAGCTCTGTTCTCCATCACATTCTCATTTCTGTGTACATTTGCAAGATGTGTGTAATGTCATTTTCCAAAAATAAAATTTGATTTCAATATTTCTGGCTGACATTCTCTTTTTTCAATCATCGAACCAATGATCATGTAACCACAAAATGTCCGAGCTGGAAGGAAAGTTAGACATTAGATTGCTCAACCCCTTAATTTTATAGATGAGGAAGCTGAGAATCAATGTACGATGGAAATACCATAATTAACAGCACAGCATGTCTGCAGCGTATAAGGTCTTGGATCTCTATAGTTGAACAGGAATCAAATCTCTTTTGGTATATAAAATATTTTGGCTAAGGTAAGTGTGTGACACCAAATAAGAGACAATTTCTCTTACTGTGCTTTCAGACAGTGCAGAAAGACTTCACAGTTCTTGAAAATACCTTCACTGTTCATCAGAAGGTTACTGGCACAGCCACTTGGGGAAGGAACACATAGATGTTGAATTCATAAATATCGGATTCATTCTTGGGCATAAATTATTAATTTCTTACATCAGATCTTAACTAGGCTTGTGAAGAAGTTGATGATAAGTGTGGGAGAAAATAGCACACAGAGAATAGGCTGAGATCTCAGGATCACTTTGATCAACACAATTCTGTGCTAACCATAAAGTGTCTGCCTAGTCTTTGTAGAAGAAATATCCCTAGGCACTCTCCAGGACTGAGAGGATTAGGAATTCCTCCTCCAAGTAGTATTTAATGAGTCCCACGAACAGCAATCTGGTGGAGACAAAGTAGAGCAAGATGGAACTTCTTAGTATTCCTTATTCAAATAAAAGTTAGATGTAGACTTACTATGTCTCTTTAAATAAAAATTTCTTTAGAAGTGCATTGGTCTCCGGTGGAAAGAGAAAAATCAGTTAAGTACTGTGTGCGTGTATGTGTTTCATAGAAGCAATGTACTCAATTTAAAGGACTATATTTAGTTTTGAAACCATATCCTTTTCGTATTTTAAGTACTGAAAATGTTTTTTTTGCAAAACGTGGGCAGGGAAGTAAATAGGTATTTGTTTTCAATATCCCAATCAAATAAAATTTAAGGGCTTCAAGTCTGTGGCAAATACTGGTTTAGCCTAAAAGAATGAAGAATTGTAGAAATGGGTGTGGTTGAGTTCTAAAAGTCAGGTATTTGGTATCTAAAGGGAGTTTTTTCTAAGACCACCCAATCTCATACCGTCTGTCCCCTCATTTTTCATCCACTCCTCTGCCTCATACTGAGGAACTGCTCACCAGCACTACCTAAGAAGCATGAGGGTGATGCTCAGTCTTAGGCCCCTCTCTACAGAGACTGAATCAGGAGCTCTGAGAATAGAACCCAGTGATTCTGGGTGAACTAGTCCCACAAGAGGGTTCTGAAGCCCTCCCTCATTTGGCAACCCCTGCTCTGGTGAATTCTATTTCTTCTTCTCTAAGATGTAGCTAGAATGTATGATCCCACGAGCCATTTGGGTTCAGTGTTGGCATCTCTACCTAAAATTCAGATGAAAGAGAAATTCACAGAATTTCTCAGAAAATTTCTATAGTCACAGTTTTTTTTAAAGAGAAATATAGTTTGTAAAATTCAAGACAAAACTTACATAAATAAAGAATAGTTCTTCCAGCTATTGCAAGGAGTCAAGTTGGGGACCTGAGATGAAGAGCAGAGGTGTGGTAGACTAGTGGTGATTATAGAACTGTGGATGTAGAAGTGTCAGAAATTGGTGAGCCATTGGAATGTGGAAGAAATGGGAAACAGAGAGGAAAAAGCGAAAGCCTAGGCTTGATCAATTCATCCTGAGTCCTCCCTTTCCCCCGAGTCTCCTCTGTTCTAGACAGCGCAGTAGTCTCTCACATACCTCCTCCCCTGACTTCAGCCCTGGCGCTTCAACTCTCCTTCACACTTCACTCTTGCTGACACAGTCTATCCTTCTTTCCTTGCCTAGAAAAATACCCTCTGAATGCCCTTCCACATTTCTCCACCTGTCTAAATGGCACATGTAGCCAAAACCTACCAGCAACGGAACTTAAGGCATATTTATAAGAAAAACAAACCCAAACATGGAGAAAAACTGGCAAATTTCTATCCTGAACTTTCCAGGGCAGGCCTGATCTTATGTAATTTTCCTCCTTTTCCAAATAAAGGTGATTTGTTAAACATATAACTAAATGTGATTTTGTTTTTATACATTTCTAAAAAAGAATTTCCATAAATACACTCGCAAATTGGAAAACATCCCTAGTCAGGCCACACATGTGCACTGAGAGTTTGGAAAGCAGTATTCCTTTAGGAGAGAGGTTTCCTTGTCAAGTGTCTATACTCCCCCATTTCTGTGATGTACACTGTGACACTAAGAAAGTCTTTCAGGTGGTTGGATTATATCAAACCTGACCGCCTCAGGGAGACAGCCTTGAGTAAGAAAGTGATTTCTCCTTGAAACATTCAGGCTGTTGATTTTCTCCAATCGAGAAGAGTTGGCTTAAATTGTTGCAATCCTTTCTTTTCCCTGCTTGTGTACCCCTGAATAGTTCTAAGAATCCTCTCATGGACTGAGAGAGGGGTGAGTCCCACGTTTCTGAATTAAGGGCCATGACCTCCCTCATTCTGAAATGAACCAATGTGTATAGAATTGCATACTGTCAAAGGTGGACAGGGCTTTATAAACCATTAATTCAATGTTTTCTTAAGTTTCTTGGGGGAAAATTACATGGAGGAGTTATTACAAAGACCAGTTCCAGGATCCCGTCTCAATCCAACTTCATTGGACTGTCCAGAAGGCTGGGAAGCTGTAGAGTGCAAAAGAGCTTCAATGCATATTTCACCTGTGAATTGTATGGCATGGACTTCCTAAACTTTGCTGTGGATAGTATTGCCTGAACATCTTGTGAAAATGTAAAGCCTGATTTAGATATTGTGGGGAAATCAGGTTCTGCAATTCTCATGAGCTACTCATTAATTTTCTAAGCTTCTAGTCCATAGGCTGCACTTTCAGTAGCAAAATACTAAGATCAAGACACATTTTGTTTAGAAAAGGAAGAAATGGAGGCCTAAGGAATAAAAATAATATATTCATGTTCAAACACAGTTAGAGGCAGAGATGTCTAACACTGAGGACTCCTGACTCCTGAACCAGTGCTCTTTCCTTATGACCAGGCTGCCCATCATCAACAGGCCCAAAAAGCAGCCTGGCTGAAATGGCACTGTTTCCAATCAAAGGCTAATTGGGAAAATGATGTTTCCTGAAAGAGAAGCAGCCCTGGCTTGTCTCAGTAATGAGTGGGTATACTGGCAGGGAAAAGACAAAGGGTGGGGGAAGGGACAGAATTGATGGCTCACTTTAATTGAAGAAATGAGCCAAAGTCTCCTTACAAAGAGCTGGGGGTGGGGGACAGGGAGGAATTATGGTTATACAATGTCCTCCTACAGCATCTAGGGGAGGGAGAAACACACACACACACACACACACACACACACACACACACACACACACACCCCAAAGCCTTGTGGAAGTTCCGTGATGGAGGTCCTGCAAGAAGCTGAGAGCCCCCAGAAGAGTGTTGGAGTACTGTGACGAAGGCTGGGAGATATAAGCTTTAGTATAATAAAACATTAATGATGAAAAATGAGCTACGAATTACTCTGACTAGAATAAATCTTTACTTTAATGGTTCCCTTCAAACACAGGCTTCACTCAAGAGGTGAAACTTGAGCCGAGGCTTAAATAAGTTGAAGTGTGTTAGGCAAAGGGCGAGGTGGAACATTTCTGACAGAAATACTCTTGTGAGCACAGACAAAGAGGTCTGATCTATTTCTAACGTGTTTGGAGATCATAAAGGCTTTCAGTGGGGTAGACCAGGCTGAGATATGCAGTGCAGGAGGGGGTGAGTAGTTGGAAACCATGTTGGGAAGGTCAACTGGGAAATCATTGCCTTAAAAAATATGCAGAAAAAAAAAATGCCAGCCCCCATGCTAGGCTCTAGAGGGTATAAGACACGGTCAGGCACAGCATAAAATTCCAAATATTTCTAAACAGACATTAACCGTGGTCCATTGTGTCAGGTGCTGTGACACAATGAAGCACAACATGGCAGATGAGTCACATAGGATACCTGATCAGGACTAGGAGAGCCTTTTCAAAACAAAACAAAACAAAAAACCAAAAAACTGTGCAGGGCCTGTGAGCCAAAATAAGGAGTTTTGGATTTCCCCCTTGAAAAGCACTCAGGGAGTCATTAAAGAGTTCTAAGTAGGAGAATGAGATGAACAGATAAAAGTGTAGTTAAAAATCACTCCTACTGCTGCCATTTGGAGACTGGGCCTGGGGGACATGGAAACATGAGGCAAGAAGTTCATTGGGGGCTGATGTCATGATTTGAATGATACATTGTCGCAGCTTAGACAAGAGTAGTGGTTATATAGACCCAAAGGAGGTGAAACTGAGGTTTTGAGGAGGAAGCATCAACAAAATCTGGGAGAGGACTAGGGAGGAAAGTTTCACATTCTGGTTGGAGGAAGTGGATCATGACAGGAGGAACTCTGAGCCAGGCCGAGCTGAAGGGCTTGGGACATTTGGGGGCTTCCTGCTGGCCAGAGGCAGGCTCTCACAGAATCCAGGCTGTGGGCACTCAAGGAACAGGGATGGGGGCTGGTGTTGGGATCTGTCAAAGTGAAACCGAATCTCAGCTGCTCCTACTGTATTACAAGCTAGGCTGGACAAGTGGGCGGGGCTACCAATTACGGGTGTGTGTGTTTGTGTGTGTGTGTATATGTCCTTTCCTGCTCAGGCAGTGCAGTGACTCACATCTCTCATGCCCTATCCAGAACAAGCTTCACCCAAACTCAGCAACATAGGTGAGACTTTTCTCATGCTTACACATGGGAAACAGGCTCAGAGAGGTGGAGTGATCTGTTTTTTTGTTTTGTTTTGTTTTGTTTTTCGAGACAGGGTTTCTCTGTATAGCTTTGTGCCTTTCCTGGATCTCACTCTGTAGACCAGGCTGGCCTCGAACTCACAGAGATCCGCCTGCCTCTGCCTCCCGAGTGCTGGGATTAAAGGCGTGCACCACCA